GAACTCCCATTAGAATCCTTTAATATTGCAACTCAAGATTTGAATTTTTTTCTTCAGTTCATTCAACTTGACAAATGTTGAGCCTGTCCTTCCCTTTTGACTTCTAATTCTAGATCTTTGCACATTTCATTGTAAGACTTTATTTTGTCATCTCAAGCCACCCTTTGAAATCTTCAGCTTTTTTACTTCTTCATTTCTTCCATTTGCTTTAGCTACTCTCCATTCAAGAACAAGTATGAAAGTTTCTTCTGCCATCCATTTTGGTCTTTTCTTTCTTTCCTTTCTTTTCAGTGACTTTTTCTTTCTTCATGTATGATGTCTTTGATGCCATCCTGCTACCTGCAGTCATTAGTGTTCACTGCATCAAATCTGTTCTTGAAATGGTCTACCAATTCAGGTGGGATATATTCAAGTTTTTACTTTGGCTCATATGGATTTCTCTTAATTTTCTTCAGCTTCTGAAAGATGAAGAAGTGGTCACCCTTAGAACTGCTCTCTTAGGATTATGAACCAAATACTGAGGAAGTCACAAACTCACCTGGAGGGGTCTGGAAAGAGGCATATGCACTGAATTGTGAAGGATAGGTATGAAATTTTCTCACATGAAGAAATTCTTCAGGGAACAGTATATGCAGAGACACACAGATGAAAGTTAATAATCACAGCAGTTAAGATTTATTGAGCATTAATTCTGTGCCATGTTCTACAGTGAGTAGTTTACTTAACTACTTAATCCTAACAGTCTTATGAGGTCAATATTGGCCGTATTTTAAAGATGAAAAAACTGAGGTGAAAAAGGATTTGTCACTTTCCCAGTGGGACATACCTAGCGAGTTGATAAACACTCTGCTTGTTTAATAAATGATGAGAAAATGTAGTGGATTTTCAGCTAGCAGGTGATAAAACTCAGATTTCACCATGGCTTTGCTACTAGAATCTATGCCCCTAACTCCTCTGCCAAGAGTTTGATGTGGTGAGGGAAGTGTGAGATGTTTGGCTTTGTGATGTGTGTTCTCAGAACTTGACTGAAATTAATGTTCCTGAAGATTTTTTCTCTTTATGAGGCCTTTATATTCTGTAAAATGAGCCCTGATGGCAGTGGTTAAGTACATGGCTGCTAACTGAAAGGTTGGTTTGGTTCAAACCCACCAGCTGCTCCGTGGAAGAAAGATGTGGCAGTCTGATTCTATAAAGATTACAACCCTATTGGGCAGCTCTGCTCTGTCCTGTTGGGTCACAATGAACTGAAATTAATTTGACAGCATTGAGTTTGGATATTCTATGATCTCTTTCCTCTGAAATCCTAAAACAGAGTTTAGTGTGCTGAATTGTATGCTTTTTCCTTTCCATCTAGATTATGAGGTCCCTGAGGACAATCCCCTATTTATTTTGATTCCTCTCAGTGTGTAACCTCAGCTGTTAGGCTCTTTGAGGTCAGCAGTCAGGGTTTTTTTTTGTTGTTGTTGGTTGACGCTGAACCCTCAGGGCCTAATACCGGATTGTGCAGATGATAGGCACTCTGTAAAATTTCCAAAATAAATGAGTATGACGCTTATTTCTAAAGGTTAGAGAGATAATGGCTTTGGCCTGGTCAACAATGTGTCTTAATTGATTGCTGTATGGCACCTAATTTTATTTCCACCACTCAAGCATTTATGGCAAAAACAAGGCTTCTTGCCTTACCACCTATGCTCCAGAATCACACAAATCTGACGTGGACCCAGCTTTGGAAGAATTCTGAGCAAGGAATTCTGTGAGATGCCTTTGCTGGTTTGGTGTTGTAAGGGTTTGTGACTTAGGCCAGTTAAAGATGGCCTATTTAAAAGAAATTTGTGTTATGGTGTCATTTTTATGAGCAAATCAATCACTACCTCATATTTTATTGTAAATGGTTTCAAGTACATACAAAATAATTGATTTTCTGTACAACTTCACTGATCTTCACATCTCTGGGTCAAAACAAAAAAGCATAAGTGGCCATAAGTGAACTCTATCTCTGTGCTCTAGGCCTGTGCTGTCCCATAGATAGCCACTAGCCACATGTGGCTATTGAATATCTCCAGTGTGTTTCATCTGAGCTAAGATATGCTGTAAATGTAAAATAAAACCAAATTTTGAAGATTTAGTATAAAAAGGAATATAAAATAGCTCATCAGTAATTTTTCTACAATGATTACAGGTATAATGATAATATTTTGCATATATTGTGTTAAGATTTATTAAAATTCATTTCAACTTTTTTTTTAATGTGGCTATTAGAAAATTTTTTATAGACACATTATATGACTTGATGGCATATAGCAACAACAACAATTAGAAAATTTAAATTTACACCTGGCTAGCATTGTCAGTGGTACCCTGGAACATAAAAAGTACGAATCAGGGAGAAACAAAATCTCTTATACCTAACTATATTATTCGGGTTTGAACCGGCAGCCTTCTGGTTAGCCATCATATGCCTTAGGCACTACACCACCAGAGCTCCTACTTCACCCAAACTCACAAAAATTAGCTAAACTACCCACATCCCGATATATGTCCATTCTCACAACAGTTTTTTATATTGTTTGTTCTTGATTGAGTCAAAAGTCAAGGCAGGCTTTAGGCTCTTAAAGCTTTAAACTTTATTTTCTATAAGAATTGTATTGACTTTAAATTTATATATCAATTTGTAATTAATAATAATATATGAAGAAACCTCAAATGGTCATTGAAAACCATAAGCAACTGTGTTAGTTCCCTAGTGCTGCTGTAACACAGATACTGTAAGTGGGTGACTTTAAAGAGTATAAATTTACTTTCTTTTAGTTCTGGAAACTGAAAATCTTAATCAGGGTCTTGGCCATGTAGATTCCTTCCTTGTCAGTAGCCCCAGACAGTCCTTGGTTTCTTGGTTCTCCTCACATGGCATCTGTCCTCCCCTATATGTGTGTGTTTCCTGTGTCTATTCTGGTCGTCTTATAACTCAAAATAATTAGGATTGGTTTAGGATCTACCCTACACTAGTATGACCTCTAATGATCAATTTATTATTCCATTATGGAAGGTAATTATGTTAAAGTTTACATTAGATTACATTATAGAGCAGCAACTAGACTAGTGTTTGGCCAAACCACTGGAAACCATAACCTAACCATAAAACTAACCAATACACCAGCCTGAGGCAATGAGTAATTATAGTTATCAACATCTGTCAGTTGGAAAAACTGAGGATGAGATAATATTTATTTATTTAAACTTGGGCCTTGTTTCAGAAAAGCTTTTGTGATAGAGTAGGCAACAGTGCTATGCCTAAAAATGATCTTCTTACTGTTACTACTAAGATTCAGTTCTCAGATACAGTGTTCATTGTCAAGTATGAAGTATAACTTTTACAATTAACAGTTAAAAATGGCACAGTTGTAGCTGACTTTCTCTATATAAATTAGAACTGATTTAAGGATATCTTGCCAAAGTTCATTTATTCATTCATTTAACAAGCACTTATTGAGCACCTGCCCTGTGTAAGGCATTAAGGTCGGCCCTGGGGAAACATTGATGAACAAAATACCAAGAGAAGAAAATTTGCTAACAAATTTAATCATAAATAACAAGTAGTTAAAGTAAAGCATGTGCTGTGGAATCATACAAAAGGAAGTCCTACCCTAGGCTAGGAATTGGGAAGGGCTTCATGAATTAGTGCTACTTGTGCTGAGATGGAAGGACAGTGGAACACAGCCTGATAAAAAGTGGAGAAGAGAAAATGGGGAGGAATTGTTTAGAAATGTTTTCCTGAGTGGTAGAGAAAGAAAGGAATTGGTTGATACAACAGGGAAATGTACATAACCTACTGCCTAAATTATTTATGCCATAATCTGGAAATGTGTGCTTTCCCTAAATACCATTCATGTGGTCATAAATGAAACAACAGCAATTAAGTTTGAGAACATCTGCATAACATCATGATGTCCTTAGTGTGGGATATTTCAGACCACCTAAGCTCTGGTAGCATAGTGCCTAAGGTGCTTGACTGCTAACCAGAAGGCTGGCGGTTCAAACCCACCAGCCACTCCTTGGAAGGAAGGTTGGGCAATCCTACTTCCGTAGTGATACTGCCTTGGAAACCCAAGGAGGGGTCGCTATGAGTCGGGGCCGACTCAACGGCAAATAACAACAACAACAACTAGGGGCCTATTGTAGGAGCTCTGGTAGCATAGTGCCTAAGGCACTTGATTGCTAACCAGAAGGCTGGCGGTTCAACCCCACCAGCCACTTCTCGGAAGGAAGGTGGGGCAATCTATTTCCATAGTGATACTGCCTCGGAAACCCAAGGAGGGGTCTCTATGAGTCGGGTCCAACTTGACAGCACATGACAACAAGAGGCCCATGCAATATATGTTTCTATTAAATGTGTAACAGCTATCTCTCAAAAAAAAAAAAAAAAAAACCCACTCATTTGTAGTACTTATCAGATTCCTTTCTATTTCTTTCTTTCATGTTCTTTCTATTAAAATCAGGGATTCTGGGGCTGGTGCGGGATCCGGCAGTGTTTCGTTCTGCTGTGCATGGGGTTGCTATGAGTCGGAAACGACTCGACGGCACTTAACAACAACAACATCAGATTCCTTGGTCTACATAACATTGGCTGTTATCAACCTGCCAATGAGATAGCACTGCAAATGGAATTAGAAAGAAATGTGCACACCTTATGTATCATTCCCACCACATAAATATGGTGGACATAGATCTCAAGAATAGTAAAGCATGATGAAACCATCAGGAGGCAATGAGTTTTGATCATCTTTGTTTTTAATTGTACATTTATATTTTTTGATTTTTAATAATGGCTATGTTTAACAACTAGCTGTCAGAATTCCTGCCAATTTAACAATCAGTTCTTGGGCTCCTGTATAAGCCAGCCCCAGTACACCACTGCATCTGTGCATTTTCAGTGTAAAGTAGCCATGATCCTTGTCTAGAACAAGTCCTCACACTCCCCCCTTCTTCTCTGTTTCTTACAGATCAGCAAACAGCAGCTGCAGACAGTTAAGGACCGTTTCCAGGCTTTTCTCAACGGAGAAACACAGATTGTGGCTGACGAAGCCTTCATGAACGCTGTCCAGAGTTACTATGAGGTAAGACTTGCCACATAGAAAAATGCCCAAACTCATGGTCCCAGGATTCTGAGCTGTGGGTCAGTGGGAACAATGCCCTGATCTTCCATAGGATTATCCATCCTGAGGCAAAGGGGTTGGTAATGATTGTCTGCCTTAGAAAACAGCCAAAGCAGTTTTAAAGAAATCGGTATTTTGTTTTGGGGAAAAACTATAAATAGAAGCTACTGTTTTACCAAGTGATTTTTATATGAGACAGTGTGCTATGATTTTCTGTTTTAATCTTCCCAATAGCCTTATGAGTTAGGTCTTGCTTTTATTCCCATTTTACTGATGAAGAGACTAAGGCTCAGAGAGGTTAAGTCAATTACTTAGAGTTACACAGCTGTTAAAATGCCCCAAGTGACGACTTAGTGAACTGAGTCAGGAGCATTTTCCCACTACTTACACCCTTTCCAAACAAAGAATGGTGTTTGAAGTAGCTTTCTTGTTCTTTCTATTAAAATGGTCCTGTGGTTTCTTTTCTGCAGGATGGAACACTGTCCAAAATGTAATACTGTTCTTTAAAGAAAATCTACAAGGGAGAGAATGTCTTGAGTTTATATCACAGATAACTTATCACTTCTAGAACTCAGAGCTTTATTTATCAGTAAAGTAGATTTACAATTCCACAAGTATTTTTAAATTTGTAAATATTTTTCTTAATTTTTCCACTTGATACATTTGGCTCTGTGGCTGTTGTTTATACATCAATAATGAAGCAGACATACAATACTTTCCTTTTGGTCATGTTTTCCTGACATGCATATTTTCTCATTCAATCTTCCTTTCCTATCCTTGGAGTTTATTTGCTCATGAATAATTATTTGGTCATGAAAAGACATTTTGCCTTATTTTAAGCTATGTAAATATGAATCAAATAAATCCCTGTGTTTAGAGTCCCATGTCCTAATGTATTATCCATTGTGAAGGCCAGATTAAAATTTTTACAACCAACACTGAGCACTGAAAAATGTATGGCATCCTGCCTATACAATTCAAAATAATAAGAATAAATTGTAAAGGAAGTATAAAAAATCCAACAAAATTTAATTCCTACTCTCCAGGAGATTCCTTCATTGTGTCTTTTTAATTATTAGATAGTGTATTGTTTCAAAACAAAAATTTTGGTGCTTCTGCTTTGCTTGTGCTCTAAGCATTGAGCAACCTAGTCCGTAATAAATACTTTAAACATGTTAATTAAAAATGTTAACCTTGGTGGAGAAATCATGATTCAGTAAAGCTCTTCATCCCTCTGTTCTTTGACTTCTTTCATGGAGAGACCAAAGCTAGATTGTAGTTAGATCTGTCAGTAGTCTTGTGAAAATATTATTGATTAGTTTGCTAATTAGCATATAATATGAAACAGCATTTGTCTGTTTGCTGGATCTAACCACAGACTCCTTCTATGTACCATTCCCATAGTGCATTTTCCATTTGGATCTGAATTAGAAGTTAAGTTCATTTTTATGTTTGTCCAAATTTAAACTTTAAAAAAAAAAAAAGTAGCGGTAATAATTGCCAACAAGCATCCAACTTGCTGCTTAATATGATATAACAATTTTTTGGTTGAATTTAATGGAGAGTGGAAATGATATTGGGAATAATAGCTATGTATGGCAGTTAATAATTTGAATATATTTAACTGAAGATCCTGTTTAGAAACTGTCAGGGAATAAAATTAGGACCCCCCCCCTCCACCTTTTTTCAAGTTCTCAAGCCAGTCAGGGAGTAATGAGAGAACCCTTGTCAGACCAGGCAGACCCTTGTTAATAGTACTCCTTGTTTGGAGCCATTCACAAGTTTATAAATTTGTAGATTGTAAATCTTAATTAGAAAGCTCATTTGACTAATGAAGTAAATTAAAAGAATGTGCCATTTCTATCTATTAATTAAGTTTGAAGATTAATAGTAATTAATGTGCTAAATGAGTCTCTGGAAATTACCACCATGTCTGCTAACTGAAAGGTTCATAGTTCAAACCAGCCAGCTTTTCAGTTGAAGAAAGATGTGGTCCTCTGCATCTATAAAGACTGTAAAATAACTCACTGCCATTTAGTTGATTCTGACTCATAGTGACCCTATAGGACAGAGTAGAACTCCCTATAGGATTTCTAAAGCTGTAAATATTTACAGAAGCAGATTGCCTCATCTTTCCCCCATGGAGCAGCTATTGGGTTCAAACCATTGACCTTTTTGTTAACAGCCCAGTGCTTTAACCACAGTGGCACCAGAACTTGTTGTTTTCCTCTGTTGTGGCTAGTTCTTGTGAAAGAGTTTCCTTTTGGTCTAGTGAGAACACAGGCATTGAGAAATTGCTGAATATTTACTATTTAGATTTATGCAACATACAAAATAATGTGTGGTATTAATTACCTAATAAGTACCTATTATATTCATTAGTAAAGCTTCTTAAATCCTCAGATTATCTTTTCCAAAAAGTGTAATCCTGTAAAGCAAGGGTCCCCAGTCAAGGGATCAGGCTTAACTCTTACTTGGGAAATAACCCTTTCTCTTAACCCTCCCTTTCTCCCTTTCTCTTCACTCTTGAGTAGTGGAGAAGCTAATATCTCTTCCTTCATCCTACTCTGGAATCGAATTACTTCCCTGCCAGCATCTGTCTTGGCCAAGACTCTTTGAGTTACAAATGACAAACACCTATTTCAAAATAGCTAAAAATAGAAGTTTATTTGCTCCAATAATTAACAAGTCCAGGGGTAGGCCTGGCTTCAGTATGGCTGGATCCAGAGACTCCAAAGATGACAGCATGATAAGTATCTTTTCCCCTGTATCTTGGCTGTGCTTTCTCATATGTTGGCTTCATTCTTGGATACACTCTCTGCATGTGGAAGATACTACCAGATCTATGTTATGTCCTGCCAGCTTAGCAACGCTGAGAACAAAGAGAACACCTCCTTGCTAAGAGTCCCACAAAGGGCTGAGGAATGACTCTGGCTGGACTGACAGGGGCATGTGTCTCTTCTTAAACAAATCACAGTGGCTGGGAAATAAAGTAGACTGGAGAATCAAGCCTAGGACAAATGCCACCTCTGAAGCCTGAGTGTAGGGTCAGCTTCACTTGAACCCACTAGCCTTGAAAGTACACTAGTTCCCAATAAGAAATTAGTATGCTTTTTTACAGAACATAGGAGCCCTGGTAATGCACTAGTTGAAGGACTGGGCTGCTAATTAAAAGGTTGGCTGTTAAAACCTACCAGCTGCTCCATGGAAGAAAGATGTGGCAGTTTGTTTCTGTAAAGATGTACATACAGCCTTGGCAAAATTGTGGGGCAGTTCTACTCTACCCTATAGGATTCTTGCATTGGAATCAACTCAATAGCAGTGGGTTTTTTGTTTGTTTTTGTTTTGTTTTAGATTTTATAGTATAAATGGGAATCTATACTCAGCAGGTGAAACCAATGGATTTCCTCATTCCAACATTTCTCTCTGTTACTCTCTGGCACCACCCCACCCCATCCCTCTGTACCTTACCTTTACATCCCAGACTACCAATTGTAATGACTTTAAGAAAACAAATAGTGTCATTTTAAAAACTATTTTTATTGTGATTTGGGTGAAAGTTTACAGAGCAAATTCATTTTCCATGCAGCAGTTTACATACAGTTTGTCTCATGACACTGACTAAAATTTCCCACAGTGCAACAGCTCTCTTCCCACTTCTTCCCCATAGTTATTTCTTCCCTGTGCCCTTCCCTCCCAGGTACTCCTGCCCTCTACGCTGTCTCCCTTTGTATACATAGCCCTTCTGTTTTCCCATGATTGATCTCTCCAAGGAGCGTATCTACCTAATGTAAATATTCAGCTCATATGCCTGTCTTTTGTTTAGCTGGAAGCCATAGGAATGGGTTCAATTCCAGATCTGAGGGGCATCTAGGGACCATAGTCTCAGGGGTTTCACCAGGCTCTATCAGACCACCAAACCTGGTCTTTTTTTTATGATTTTGAGTTTTGTTCCACATTATTCTCCCACTCTATCCAGTATCTCCTACATAGATCCCCCTCCAAGTGGTTGACAGTGGTAGCTGGGTACCATCTAGTTCTTCTGGTCTCATAGTCATATAGGCTGAGGATCATATGGTGTACCAGTCATTAGGACTAATTGTTTCCATGAATCTTTGGTTTTCTTCATTCTTCTTTGCTCTGGATGAGGAGAGACCCATCCTTGTATCTAGATGGCCACTTGCAAGGTTTTATGATCCCAGTCGCTACTCACCAAAGTAGGATGTGAAACAATGTTTTTGTGTGTATATTATGCCAATTGAGCTTGATGTCCCCTGCCACATGATCCCAAGCCCACAGGTCCAGCTACTTGCTCCCTCTGGGTAGCTGCCTATGGCCAAGAGATGACTACAGCCTTGTCCCTTGTACAGCTCTGCTATATACCTGGAAATTCTTACAGAACATACAGATACACTTGTAAAACATTATCTGCCAACCTTATACATGATCATAGGCACACTCCCCCCTGCATGGACATACCTGATTGTTCAGCCTGTCCACCCATCTACCCACCAGTAGATAAATTTTTGCCATCAAAATAGTGTCATTTTTCATCCCAAAAGTTCTGAGATTATTGTAATAGAAAATATCTGTTTAGACATTAGCCTTGTTTCACTAAGGTAATATTAGTTTGTCAACATGCTGAAGTGTAGTAAAGAACAATTTTTTAAAAAATAAAAAAGTAGAGAAGGTGCTGCCACATGCACCCAGCCCAGTCTGAGACAAGCCAACCAAAAAAAAAGGGCCAAACTCACTGCCCCTGAGTCAATTCTGACTCACAGTGACCTCCCACATTGGGGTTTCCAAGGCAGTAAAATTTCATGGAAGTAGATTGCCCCATCTTTCTTCCATGGAGCATCTGGTAGGTTTGAACTACCAACCTTCTGGTGAGCAGTCAAATGTTTTAGGCACTGCACCACCAGAACTCCTTTGAACCAAGATAACAAGCATTAAATGCAAGC